ATGTTCAAGAGACCTAAGTACCCAAACATCAAAAAGAAAACAATTCAAAATCAAACACAATTTCAGTGATTTTCAATCAAGATTAAGCTTCACAGATCAATAGCCAATCAAGCAACATGTACAAAATTGAATCAAGCTCCCCTTACCTTAAGGTCTCCCAAATTCGTGAGAGAAGAGGAAGAAAAGGAAGAAGAAGGAAGCTTCATGGAGTTTCTACATTGATGCCCCTAGATTTCCCACTCTTCAAGTATGAATCTCTGTTTAAGAATTTGAGAAGAATAAAGGAAGGTTTCAAAATTCTTAGAGCTCTTCTCGCTACTCTCTCTCTAGCTCCTTTGGAAAAATGAACTAATGAAGTTCATTTGTAAAGAAAAACCTTAAATACCTTTCTCTTATAGGTTTAACTTGATCCCTGATTAAAGACACTCATATTCTAACACAAAATCTCATGAGGAATTACCCAATTCCAAAGTTTCTCAATACTAAACAACTTAACAACCACAACACATGTAATTTTAAAACAATACCAATAGTAAAAGACTCATAATGTTAAAATTTTGATACAAATTAATAGGGAAATTTTATTTGATTTTTTGAAAATAAACTCATTTGATAAAACATTTTATAATTAACAACTTTTTGCTTTACATGTATATCGCTTTTATATTATATAATAACATTGTATGAGCCAACCTATGAGGTCGGATTAGCTTTTATACCAGCCAACCTATGAGGTTGGATTCACCAACCTTTGAGGTTGGACCCGCCAACCTATAAGGATGGACCCTCCAACTTATAAAGGTCAAACTACTAATTTATATGAGAGATTAGTTGATTAGAAGGATAGAATGGTCAATCTGAAGGAAGGAGAGAGAGAATGACCAATTTGTGGAGTAACTTAATTCAACCTATAGTCATACAGGAGACCACGTAGAGAACGGTTACCAAAAGATAGTTACGCCAGGGACAAGGTACGCTTATATAGATCATATTGGAAAATGGAAAACTAACTTAATCTTCAGAGTCTCTTTTGCAGGTACCCAACCCCTCATGGACAACCTTGGAATGAAGTAGCAATTGTATTTGTTTAGAAGTTATTAATAGAATCCAGGAGGAGAGGTAGATCGGAAGCAGAGTGGCATACATCTAGTTCTCGGTAAGAACAAACATGATTTTATATACACACTTCATATGCATACATGGAAAATGTTATTCAAATAAAAATATTATTACAAACATTGGTTGACAAAAGTGATAATGACTTATGTTTCTTAACCAAGATATTATCACTCTATGTATGCTCACGGTCCTCGATAGAGATTAATTATTATTTCCAACAATGGATACTTCACACTAATACTATGGTTACCTAAAAAAAAATTACCTTGATTGATGAAAATAAGAAGTCTTTTAAATTAAAGGTAAAAAAATAAAGTTACAAGAAAGAGACTTACATATTTTTCTTCTGTAGTTTTTTTTGTACAATGACTTACATCATTTAGTGACATAGATTTTATGTTATTTTTTTTATTTAATAGATATGATTCACATATTGTTTTAAAACTGATAATTTTTAATTTTCATTGACAAACATATATAAAAATTGAACTGGATAAATTTTAACTATCTATTTCATTATTTTTATTAAATTTATTTTTTTAAAATATAGAGACACAAAATTTTTCTTTTATGCTCTTTATTATGATAAAAATATACAAAGATCAATATGTAAATTATTTAAATTTATTATAGTTGATGATGGATATATGGTGTTCAATGACAAAGAGTTCATGTGACATAAGATCGAAGACATTGTAAACAATTTTTGAAAAGCAATGTATATCTTTAGAAGACTATCTTTATTTTTGTTATTTATTTATTTTATAAGTATTAAATTATACAATAAATGTCTTTACATAATTAATATAATACAAAATTAATATTTTACATAATTAATATGTTTATATAAATTATTATTTATTTATTTTAAATTCAATATATTATATAATTAATATTTTATATTATTTTATTCATTTTTAATGAATAATTTAGTTGAGTTTATTTAATATTTCAATTAATATTTTGTTTAATTATTTTAATTAACCTTATTTTATAATTTTTTGAAGAAGTCATTGTGTGGACTATCGACATTTGTGATATGCTTTTATAATAAATAATTAATTTGTTTATCACATGGCATGCCACCTTAGATGCAATCTAATTTTAAAACAAAAAAATTCAAATATGTTTGAAGTTCTTGAATATAATTCTAACTTGTTTTCGTATATTGTAATTTTTTTTTGTCATTTTTAGCTTTTTATATCTTAGTGTTGGTTTTTACCCTATCGTTATCTTTAATTAGTTTAACGTTCATTTGACTATAACAAAATAAAAAATTAAAATAATTAAAATAAAAAATATTTTAAATTAAGGTAATAAAAAGAAAACAATACTCATTTGGACATCTCCCAATTAGTTATGTATCAATCCCATAATATCATAAATAAATTCATGGTTAAATCAATTTGAACAGAATTAATTAATTTTTATCATACTTGAGTAACAAATTAAAAGTCTGGTTTCTTTACCTTTTCTTCTTCATTTTTACATTTTTAACGGGAGTAACTACAAAATCTTTCCCAAAATTTACTTTCTGTAAGGTTGAATTTTGGTCATGCCCTAAAAATATGATAACAATCGTATAATAAATAAATATAAAAATCAGCTAACTTCTTGGTTTGATTGAACCACGTGCACCCTATCTAACCCTAGTTTTACTTTCAACTCATTTCCCATATTAACCATTATAAACCAGAAATAATACAGTTTTTTTTTTCTGAAAATTATGTCAACGCCATTAATTATATGCTCAATTTCTTGCTTAACTATATGCTCCTTTTCCCGCACTCGAAGGATGGAAAAAAAATCCCAATAGTGGAAATTGCACCATTTAATTCAGATTTTTCAAACATTTTTAGTTATGTGCTAATTATGTATATTTTCCAAACAAATATGACATTAATTTAATTTGTAATATATCTTTAGAACTTACCTTTTTTATGTTTATCATACAATATTTGATCTGTATTCATTTTAAAGTTTTACAAATAAAAGTAAAAACCGTGAAATAAAATTTAAAATACTCATAAAATGTTTACCTACACGGTTATTTTCAACTGGTAAATTTTTTTTCTTCAATGAACTTATATATTTTGAGCGTTTTTGAGTTCTGTTCTCTATTATAATTGTGGTAAAAAAAAAATCCTATAATATAATGAGTCTCTTGCTGTCACATAGGATTGGGAAATATCAAATATTCATTAGTTTTCATTCTAATATTTCCTAAATTATCCTGAAATTTAGTTTTGTTAATGATTAATTAAGCAAATTAAATTGTATTTGTTTATTATATAAGAAATTTTAGAAAAATTCTATTAAACCTTGTTTGCTCTAATAATATTATTAAAATGATTAGCTTTACAAACATGACCAACTACATTAAAATTGTTCTTAATTTGAAGTTATTAAAATGATTAACTTTCAGAAGTAACATAACCAACTATACTGAGATTACTTTTAATTTAGATTTTTTTCCCATTCAAAGTCAAAACAAGTTATTAATTTCTCAAGAATAAAAGTTTTCTTCTCGTGGTTACAAAGACTAAATTAATTATCATTAATTAAAAAACGAATTTAAAAGGAAAAAATAAATAGCAAGTTCCAAAAATAAAATATTATTTTTTCATAATAACTGAATTAATTAATAATTATCATAGTTTTAATATACTGCACTGTAGTATTTAATATTTTAATAATAATAATAGTAATAATAATAATAATAAACGGTCAAACCTTGACCACAAGAACAATTGTCAGAGGTAAATTTGTGAATTGAGATCCTCTGAAGCTATGTTTGGATTCACGTTTAATTTCTTCAAAAATTATGTTTACATTAATTTTGATGTAGAAGTTCCATTAGATAATTTTAGATATTCACGTCTTAAACGTAAGTTTTAATCACTTAGACGTGCATCCAAACGTGAACTAAGTCATCGTGCAGCAAAATCTCAACCTTAAATTGATTATTCCAGAGATATCAAGATAGAAGGAGACTACTCTCTCCGTTCCTTAATAACTATAATTATAAGTTATTTTATATCGATGAAAAAATTAATCAATTAATGAAAAATAGTAATTTTACGAAATTAATTTTAGTTTTTTTTTATCAAATGATGCAACACAAAATTCATTTTCAATATAATATTATCAAGTGCATAAATAAAAAATATTAATATCACATTAAAAAAATAACAAAATACTTATTTTAAAATTTATTTTTTTTCTTCTCAGTACTTTTTATAGGATGAGAGAGTATAATACATTGTTCATATTTCCATTGTACATATTAGTATTGCACAAAATCTTGATCTAAATTTGTTGACTTAATTGTACTTTTTTTTTTAAATCTGTGTTTTATAATTTTGCAGATTTTAAAATTCAACTTTTAAAAGTGTGCATTTTACTAATAAATTTTTAAAATTTAATTTAATTTTTTTTATCATTAGTTAATCATCTAACATCAATAAGTAATGGTTCACGTGGATTATTACATAAATTACAAGTTTACGTAAAAAAATAAACATGTCATATCAATAATTGAGTAACATGTCACAAAATTGATTAATATGATAATGAAATTTAAAGAAAATTAAAAGGTAAATAACAAAATATTCTAGTTTAAAAATTAGGTAACGAATTTTCGTAAAATGGTGAAATGATAAAAAAAAAAGAGGTAATTAAGCAGATTTCTTTTTACAAGCAAATAATTAGGAAGAATGGAAAAGAAGATTGATGATTTTAAAAACGGAAAGGAAAAAGGGAGGGCAGTTTGGGGATTTGACACGGGTGTGAAAATAAATCCAAATGTCACATGAAGCAGAACCTGAATGATATATAAAGGGACATTAGAAAATCGGAGATCCCAGATTGGCACATTATTATTTAACGTTGCCACTCCCTTAGATTTCGGTCCCTGCAACCTCTTCAAACCAAAGCTTCTCAAACACACTGCAAACACATCGCAAGCACAACGCCATTATTCCCCCAAACCGCACCCTCCAAAAAATAATAATGATAATTTAAAATTAAAAAAATGGAAAACAAAAACGTTTGATCAACGAGAGTGGATTTCGTTTCATTCGGTTCCGTTTCCCAATCCGTCGTCGTTTAGGCATTCCGTTAGCTGGCGGCGCGAGCATGTCGTCCGGCGGCCCCACCACGAGCTCCTCGAACACCAGCCCCAGGGTGGCCGCGGGCCCCACCACGACGCGGCGGCGCGTGGCGGACAACGTGGCGGACGCGGAGAAGCAGCAGCAGCAACAGCAGCAGATGTCCTCCAGCTTCTCGGACTTCTCGGAGTCGGAGCTGGACGAGGGAGGGTCCGCGCACCCCCACGCCCACGCCCACGCGCACGCGCACGCGCACGCGCATCCCCACGCGCACCACCACCACCTGCACGTGGTGACGCGGTCCCTCCTTCTACGCGCCCGCAGCGTGCTCCTCTGCGTGCCGGAGTCGCTCTTGCTGCGCGTGGAGCAGCTTGTGCTGTGGCTGGCGGGGTCGGTCCAGGGCCTGAGGTCCGGCAAGTACGTGGGCCGGAAGATCTTCGCGGCCCTAATCGCGATGCTGGTGATGTCGGTGTTCCTGAAGGTCTCATTGCTGGGCGCTGGCGTTGAGATGAACGGGAAAAGCATCGAGAATGGACAACTCATATTGCAGCGTTTCAAGGAGGATTGGGTCTCCGCGCAGAGGGTCGTCACCGAGTCCAAAGCCTCCATGCCCAAACGCGTCCTCGAGAGGTTGCCGGTAAGTCCCCTCACAAACACCTTTTTTCCACCGCAACAACTGCTTTTTTCCTTCCTTCTCCTCGTTGCCCTTCAAGATTCCTTGTACATCTAATCGCGTTAAATTTTGGGGCTATCTATCCCATCCTTTAAGATGCTTCTAAGTTAACGAGGAGATTAGTCATTGCTATCATGTAATTAAAGAAAAATTCCTTTTCAGGAATCGCGTTTTTTTTAACCGCTTTTTTCCTTTTTTTTTGTCCCCGGGTGAAAAAGTTTGGGAAAATAAATCGCATACCTTGAACGTGAAAAAGGTTTTAAAAGTGCTTTTTTGTTTTTGCTGGCCATTGGGTTATTGGAAATTATTAATTTTGACGGAAGTTGTGTAATGAGATTCATTAAAATTTACAACTTTTAATAAATTTAATTCGATCAGTACTTATAACAGAGTGTGGTGGAGAAAAGGATTGTTTATTTCGTTGTTTTTAGTTACTACACGTTTGCCTTTTCAAAATTAATCTTCAATTTTTTATAAATGCAATTTTAACTACTAGATTCTATTTAGCAGAGAGTGGTTAGAATAAATAGAGGAAGATTTAGTTAGATTTTAGAGTAATAATGTTAGGTTTGAAATTTATTACCATCATTATAATTTCTAGAGACTTAGTTAGCTTCTTCTTGGTGTTATTAATTTTCTTAGTAGTAATATAGAGTATGTAGTGCTGTATAAGATTTTGATTTTATCTATAATGTGTTATTTTAAAATAATAAAAATAACACTAACAAAAATTACTTAAATGACACGAATTCGTGCGGGATGTGGTGTTATATTAGAATTTTTATGTAAGAGATAAATCAAAATTACCCAGTTAAAAATAAGGGGACCATATTTAAATTTTGAGAGGAGGATAAAATTTTTATTTACATTTTATTATTTTAATGTTTTTGATGCGATGATTTGTGGGGGTGCTCTGGTGCCAAATAAAAAATTGATGGAAAAGGTATGATTGGTTAGTGGTGCCAAACTTATTTTCTATCTTATTTTAATTGTTGATTAATTAAAAATTACACTAGAATGCGAAAAGTGGCGAACCATGACCGAATTAGTGCCAGAATGGGAGATACGGGATTGAGTGTGAAAAGATATGTTTTCGTTGCGAAGTTGAATGTCTCGTGTGATTGGAATTTGGACAGTTTTTTCAAAAATGTTGACTTGTTGGCAACTGAAGACACGCGTGTAACTTTGTGTGTTCAACCTTCAACGTGCTTGAGAGGGTGGCTCTGACCGTTACAATAACACATTAGGGATTGTTATGCATTTGGCGTTGTTTGTTTTTCCTTTTTCTTTTTCCTTGGTGTTCTCCATGTATATGTGAATGTTGGCTTTGAATCGTCTGAATTTAATTTGTTTGAATTGATAAAGCCAAAATTGAGAATTATGAAACCCTTTTGAATTTTGATACTGTGCTTGCTTGATAATCTTAGATTGTTCAACGTTTTATATTTATTTATTTAGTTTTTTTTTTCAATAGACTCCAGAAATATGGATGAAGCCAAACAGTGACAAATATTACCAATGCGTTTCTCCACCGAGGAAAGTAATAAGTATGTGTACAATTGCACTTGATTTTGTGTCTATCTTCGCCACAATTTTTTTATTCTCATTTTGCATTCCTTTTTTTTTTTTTTTTTCTTTCAGGGCCAAAAAAAACAAATGGCTATCTTCTTGTTCATGCGAATGGTGGATTGAATCAAATGAGAACTGGGGTAAGATAAGTTCAAATGAAACATAGAATTATGCAAATGAATTTCATTTCAAAATTCTAAGTTTCCTAAATGGTATTTACTATTGCAGATATGTGATATGGTGGCAGTGGCAAAAATAATGAATGCCACACTTATCCTTCCCTCTCTGGACCATGATTCGTTTTGGACAGACCCAAGGTAAAATTTCCCATTTAATTTGAGTGCAACATTAACTATTGTCCCCACCACATGTTACCATTTTTCCAAAATGTAATGTCCCTAATATATTTCAGTGACTTTAAAGATATTTTTGACTGGAGGCACTTCATTAAAGTTTTGAAAGACGACATTGACATAGTTGAGTACTTGCCGGTCCAATATGCATCAGTGAAACCTCATGTGAAGGCCCCTGTTTCATGGTCAAAGGTGTGGAGCATTAAACAATTCTATGTGATGGCATTGTAACAATTCAGTTCTTTTTTAGTGCAATAGTGGCTTAGATGCTTCATTTTCAGGCTAGTTACTACAGAAGCGAGATTCTTCCATTGTTGAAGCGGCATAAGGTTGTGCAATTTACTCACTCTGATTCACGGCTTGCCAACAATGGCCTTGCTTCCTCTATTCAGAAACTTAGGTGCCGTGCCAATTACCATGCTCTCAAGTATACTGCAGAAATTGAAGAGCTTGGAAGAACTTTGGTTCATAGGCTTAGAAACAATAATGAACCATATATTGCCCTTCATTTGAGGTATTATCTTGTGTACTTAACTCTTTCTAATATTTAGCTTAATTGTAATTTTGCTTCTTACTACTTTCAATTATGTGGATATTGTTTCTCAATTCTTTTTCCGTGAATTTGATCTTCCCACTAATCTAATCGTGCAATTTTAATTCATCTATTAACTAAACAATTAATATTTAACCAAAATATTGATGTGACACACTTGTACTACCAAGTTAGCATGTTTATGTTGACGTGACTCCTCATTGGATTTTTACGTCAGCATTTCATTAAACATTATATGTTAAGTTAATAGATTGATCAAAATTGTACAATTAAAATAGTGGAAGTTAAATTCAAGATAAAAATGGAGGGGAAATTTGCAAAATTGAGAACGTAGGAGGACCCAAAGAGCAACTAACATATTTCCTTATTTTAAACTGTTAAAATATGACTATTTTCTTATGTTGTTATTTATTTACAATATAGATATGAGAAAGACATGCTAGCCTTTACTGGCTGCAGTCACAATCTCACTGCTGAAGAGGCTGAGGAACTAAGGGTTATGAGGTATGATGTGAAGCATTGGAAGGAAAAAGAGATTGATAGCGTGGACAGAAGATTGCAAGGGGGGTGCCCTATGTCACCCAGAGAGGCAGCTATTTTTCTCAAGGCCATGGGGTACCCTTCCACTACAACAATCTACATTGTTGCTGGACCTATCTATGGTGGAAATAGTATGGAATCCTTTCAAGCTGAGTACCCTAATGTCTTCACTCATTCTACCCTTGCGACTGAGGAGGAGCTAGAACCCTTCAAGCCATATCAAAACCGTCTCGCGGCTTTGGATTATATAGTGGCCCTGGAAAGTGATGTCTTTGTGTACACCTATGATGGAAACATGGCCAAGGCAGTGCAAGGTCACAGGAGATTTGAGGGGTTTCGGAAAACCATCAATCCTGACAGGTCAGTGCACAAAATATGGATCACTACACTACCTGCATTTTTCTTTCCATTTGGATAACATGACATTATTTTCATGTCAAGAGAGAAAAAGACTACAAAATTGGTAGACCCTACACAAATAGTCGTAGGTGTTAGTATACTTGTTTAGTCTTTCTTTTCATCACATGACCAAAACCAATATGGGGATCGTATTTTTTTTTCTTTTGGGGTAAGGTTTGTGGTTGGCATTGTACATGTTACTGATGTGTGATCTCTTTTCATTCCTTTCCAGATTGAATTTTGTTAGGCTGATTGATCAATTGGATGCGGGTGCCATATCTTGGGAAGCATTTTCTTCTGAGGTTAAGAATTCACATTCCAATAGGCTAGGTGCGCCTTATCTTAGACAGGTAGGAGAGTCACCAAGAACAGAGGAGAATTTTTTCGCCAATCCTTTTCCTGGTTGCGTGTGCAACAAGTCTCAGGAGCAAATTGCAAGCCTGAAACTAGAGCACCGGTTTGCTATTGGAGCTGCACAAAGATAGTGTCTTAGTTTTGGTTTTGTTACATATGATTAGGCTAAACAGTGGGGTCTCATCATGTATTATATGACATTGCCTTAAAGTTAAAGGAAGCTCATTTGGGTTTGTGTCTGGTGGGAATGTGCTTCCTTTGTTCCAGCCTGGTTGATGAGGCTGCTGAAGAATCAATGGGGCCCTTGTGGGGTTCTCATTTCATTCAAAATATGACAGTTTAGGCATACAAAAAGGGAAAGAATAGAAAGGTTTTGTGTATAATCAAAAGGCATACCACAGGTTAGATTATACTGGGGTGATTGACATTGACAATTACCCCTTTGGATGTGAAGAGTTATACTGTTAAACAAACCATTTGATTCGTTGATTCATTTTTGAAGGATGATTGCCAAATGGAGCATGTTTCCAAATTTTGGATTGAACAGTTGGTTGATACATAGGAATCTTGTTTATATGTTCAAAATAGATATCTTGTTTATATATAATTTTTTTTTTGGGTGAAGGATATCTTGTTTATCAGTTTACATTGATGTCGTTCCTGTCTGCCTTGAATTGCAGACTACTACGAGTGTAGAAACATTGATAATTTAGTTAATTTCATTATTATTTTTGTTGTTATTCATTATCTTGTTTGATAAGCGAAGAAAAGCCAAAGGCCCATATCTTAATTTTATGGATAAAATAGATACTAAAATTCTTGCTATTTTAAAACGCATGTGCTATTATCGAAGACAGCTAATAAAACTTTTTCAAGATGTATATGTTGATTTGAGTAATTTATCTACCTGTAATCTAAAGAATTTCTTGGAACGCAAATAAAGATTTATGCCCCCTTTTTTTTTTACAAAGTCAATCTTGAAACTGAAGCTTAATATGATAATAAAGAATCTGATCAAGAATTTACTTATTAAGTTTCTATTACGTCCTCCATTTGATGATTAAATGAGGATCGATTCAAATTAAGTACACGTTTATTAATTTTTATTGACTCGGTATTTGAATACAAAATTCTCATAAGATAGATTACGCTTATTACATGTTATTGTAATAGTATTACACAAATCTAACAATTGAATTCATATATTTCACTTATTCATTTAAAATAATCAAAAAATAGTTTAATTGTTGATAAAATATTATTCTATTAGTAACTTTACATATATCTTATTCCTTGTGTCTTGTGTTAATTCAAGAAATTTGATTATTGATTAGGAAAGAAAAAGTAAAGGTTTATTTTGATTGCATAAATAATTAATAGAGAAAATATATTGATTTAGTTTAGCAATGAAAGTTCAAAAGACAGATATCACAACATTAAATACATGTATGCTTACGGGAGAAGGAGAAAACAATTAAAATATTTCATGTGTAGTTTTTTTTTTTTTTTATAAGCCAAACAAATAACATCGATTATAAAAGTAACTGAAACACAAGATGTGCCTCAGATATTAAACAAGGCAAATGATTGTTTCATGCGTAGTTGAGTTCAGTTTATCTTTTAAAAAAAATATTTTAACTAATTATAGGTGTATCATTTCATGCATTGGTCGACATCTTTTGTTTAATTTTAAATACATGTTAAGAGTTTTTTGTAATGCACTTTTTATTTTCTGAAAAACAGAAAACAATCGATTCTCTTCCAAATATGCACGTGAAGTTTGAATCCATGCATTGCATTGTACACAAAACGTAGTCTCACAAAAGATTGTTAGTCTCAACATGTGGTTTGTCTTGTTCATTTAATTAGTGGACTAAATTTGAGGCTATTTAAAGGGCAGCGACAATGATGGCAATGTAAACCAAATTTGAATTCCCTAATCATTTTCAACCTTACACTTATCTCACCTTTATTTTAGTAAGCTACTCTAAATTAACCTAAGAAATTCATTTGTCCTACTTTTTGTCAACGAAATTGCAGTAGTTGAAAGGGTGAATGGAAAAGGAAAACCTAATCTCACGCTTTACCTATACTTGCCACTTCTTTTTCGATGTATTCTTCACCTTGAATCAATCCCTAATGATAGGAGGAAAAAGGATGACAAGAAAAAGTGAAAGTAAAGTTAGAAATAAAGAGTCTTTGAATTGATCCATTTTAAGTTGAAATTTTTGTTTGGGTAGGTTTTGGATATCATATTCTTTAGTCTTTCAGACGTTGAGACAATTCCTTACCACTTACCAGTTTGTACAAAAATTAAATGAAAAATGTAATATTTATTATCATAAAATATATTTTATGTCCAAATAATCTGCGGTATTTTAAGGATATTTATAAAATATGTTTGCATAAGTGTTTCTAAACTTGATATAATAACTTGATGTTAAATAATTTACGTTTAGATACGTTGTATTATTTGATTCTTTTAATTTTAAGTTAAATTGTAATTTTGATCCCCTATAATTTTAAATATGTAATTTTGATCTTTTATTTTTAATGTCATAATTTTTTTCTCTCAAATTTAATATATGTGAATTTTTGTCCCTTCATTAAATATTCATCCGTCGACTATTAAAATAGTAACATTGATCGTGTCTCATGACTTAATATTGGGTAGATGACACACTTAATAATATTTAGGTTGATTTACATTTTTACTTCTCATTTTTTAATGTAATGTTCCAACAAGTTCCTATACTTTATAATTGAGCAACTATAGCAACAAAAAATATAAATTTAATTACCTAGCAATATATACATGTGTAAAAATGTTATCAACAACTAAGATAATAAAATAAATCTCTCAATGAGACTATTACTATAATTATACAAGTATATAAATATAGTAATCTGATACTAAAAGCATAAACCTAGGTTGTCAGTTAAACAAATATTACAAAACTAACAACATTAGGGTTTTTAAATATAGTATTAAGCAATGTCGTCATCCTCCTGCATGGCTATCAACACTGGCTTATCCTCTCGCCTAATCCTACCCTAAGTCCCATAATAAGTATGATCATCATAGTTCAATCACAATAAAACATGTTAGGATAAGCTTATAAAAGACAATATAACAAGTATAAAAGTAAAATATAAATATACTATCAACGTCAACAAACCAACACCTACGAAATCAACACAACAATATCCAATTTACAATTTTCTTCGTACCAACAAAATATATAAACTACACCATACAACTCATATTTTTCAACTTAAAGAACACAACACCTCAACTTACAACATAGTATACAACTTTCCAACACATTATGTGCACAACACAACAACTTAAGCAACATTATCACATATCAAATTCACAACTTATCAACACAATAACATAACGTGTTGTCACGTATTTCAACTAAGCGATCTCTTACAATGCAAATGAACAATCTAAGTGGTTTCACCATACCAAATCAACTTAACAACGTGACTTTTTTGGGGTTTGCTAGATCAACAATAATTTGGATAAAATCCACAATTCAACATGGTTTCTTGAATTTCGTCATTTAAATTAAAAAAGTTCAATATTCCTATCAAGGATAAAAAAACTTGAGTATGAGTCTACCACAACCTTAGTATCCATACACTATAAGAAATATTACATACAGTAACATACAAAATGTATCACTATAGGTACATTATATGTTGGTATATATCTATTTGACATATAGTTATACACAATTTTAATATTGATTTTGAATGAGATTTAACAATATATTTTGTATATCACTATAGTCTATGTTCATACTTTTTAACAATATACCAGCATTTATTGTATTTATTGTGTAGTTAAAAATAGTTTTTAGTGATAATTTTTGTGTCACTATAGGATACATATCATTACATAACAGATTTCTTGTAGTGATAACTAAACCTATTATGGAATTAGTCCACTAACTATCCTTCAAATATTAAGGCCTTTTCTAGTATTTAATTAGGGATTTTGTCTTTGACCTTATACCTTACTCAGTTTTGGTCACTTTATACACACATAGTTCAATCTTGCCCCCATATAGATCTTTATTTTGGTCGCTTATAGTTAGTATAACTTAACCTAACCCTTATATTATTTTATATTGGTCGCTTTATAGTTAGTATGACTCAACTTGGCCCTTATACTATATCAATTAAGAACTTAAAAGAGACTTGACACTCCACTTCAAGAGCCAACTTCTCAGAAAGGGTTTTTAACAACTAGATTTGTAGAGTACCATAATACTATATACTCACAATGGGATATTCATATTTTAAATCAACACATCTCCTCTAGTCCTAATTCAATCAACACAACTCAACTTCATGTTAAGCATTATCAACACAGCTATTTCAACAATACACAACATACAACTTTATTGTTTTCAACTTTCATCAACTTACAACTTGAAACAACTTAAATATTGAATACATTATCCTACATCAATGCATTCAATTAACTAGAACCATACAACAATATACAACATGTGAGCAACTCAATCTACAAGTCACTTGTTCCATACTTAGCAAAATAATCAACCATTTTTCATTCAACAACTCACACCAAATGTCATTCTCCCTATGCTCAATGTCATCGAGATAGAGAGGCTTTGACTCGCCCACACCTGACGCATTCTACCCATGCCTTGCGTGAATGAGACAGAGAGTCCTTATGTCAATTATGTCTAACATAGCTAAACCCATGCCCGACCTCATTTAGGTAGCTTTACTCATGCTCAACGTCACAACACTAGCATTTGATGTCGTCTAGGTAGAGAGTTATTCCCTTGATCACACATGGTGTAATGACCCGATTGGTCACTACACACAGCACAGCACACTGAAACACCACACAGAAAGGAACGAGTGTATACATATAGTGTCTAGAATATATATATATACAAGATCCAAATCTGGCCAGTGTTAAAGTGCACAAAATACAACCAACATCGCTATACTAAATAGCTAAATACAACAAAATAATCAAACGCCATCTGCCAGCTGCAGACTCTCCTCAGCACACCAACCTAACCCTGCTCTGCTCCCATACATAGTATGATTATCGCAGTCCAAACCACATGGAAACAACAAAGGGTAAGCTAGTGAAAAGAAACAGCATACATATATAAATATATGAATAGTAAACAGCTACAACTATCAGCACATCAATCAACTTTAACAACATCAGCTTAATATATATAACAACACACATCTCACATCATTCAGCAATAACAGCAGTACACAGCGGTAAATAGCAGTAAGCACACAATGCGTTGTCACGCATATAAGTTAGTATTGGTCGCTTGTAATCGGTATAGCTCGACCTGGCCCCTATATCGTGGTCGCTTTGTACACATGTGCCTCGACCTTGCCCACACACGGGATCACTAAGACTTAGAGGAGAACAACAAGTTACCACTCCAAGGGTCAGCCTTCCAAGGAGGGTTTTTCAATAAATTGGGCTCCAAGAGCACCACAACAGCTCAGTCCACACAATGGGATGAGGAAGTTTCGAAAACATCTCCTCTAGTCTTAGCGATCGACAGCTCAGCCTTACGACCTACAACAGCTCAGCCTTACGGCCTACAATAGCTCCTATCAGCATGGAGCACAGCGCTGCATAGCAGCAATAACAGCACCGCATAGCGGCAATAACAACACCGACTTAGCGGCTATAACAGCACCGACTTAG